AACCTTTTGACAAATCCACCATATATGGAAATATGTAGCATCGAGAGAACCACATCTCCAACACTTGGGTTGTAAATTCGGGTACAAAGAAGCCAGCTTTTTAGGATCTAAATGCCATCTATAGAACATCTTGTAAAAATTTTCTCTCAGGTTTTGAGGTTGTGTAAATTTCACATTTCTAACCCAAATTTTTTCCCATGTATCCAACATTATTGGTTCTTCAATATTTTTAGCCCACTTTACCATACAATCTTTAACTAACTCTGTTTCCAAATCTATCTGTATTACAAACCTGTTGTCTTTTCATGACATCATATCTGCTCCACGAAGAGGCTGAATGGCACTCCTAACCTTGGATGTGAGTGTACTGCCTAATCCTACGTCCAATTGCAGTCTTGGAACTAGGCCAAACTGGTGATGCTATATAATAGTTACTTATTTGTTTATAAATATTGTGTCCCCTGCAGAAAGAAAATTAATGTTAATATAAAAAGGAAGAAATCAAATATATTATCTGTATTATATTTTAGAGTGTATTTTCTGTTTAATTATTTTAATTTTATTTTTGGCTACACTGTGTACGTACCACCGGAATGATCAGAAAGAATTCACCCAATAAATAATAATTACATAATTTTTAAAAGCACAGTCTAAAAGCATCAGGATATTACAAATGGTTCCAGTCCAGAAAATTGCAGCTTCAAAAAAGCAGAAGTAAAAATGCTGAACTCCCTCTCCCTGCTGCCCAAGTAAAATAGTTCTAGCTTTTCTAAAAGAAAGAGCAAAGTAACTTTCTGGGCTCTTTGTGGGTGGGCTAGAATAGCTTCCTGGTATGATTTGAACTTGGGTCTCTCTGGATTCACTTAAGTCACTTTAACTAAAAGCGGCGAACACATTTCTTCCCAAGTTCTGATTTGTCTGGCTAAATATCATGTTTCTAGAATAGCCAGTGTGCCCAAAGTATTGGAAGAACTTTCATTTTGAACTCACCAGAAATGGTCAGAAGAACAACGGTGCAGAAAACCAAAACCAAATGGGAATTCCTTCCAGTTCTATCATTTGCAATCATTGTGGCTTTCCCCCCCATTTTATACAATTTTCCAGAGGGAGGAAAGATATTCGTATGTCCAATTTGTGGGCTTGTTCACAGTGTATTGGTGAATTGGCTTTTTTTCTTGAGTTAATTCAAGTATCAGTTTTCGTAAACTGACGCAATACTTGCCTACCTAGTCATCTACTTGTCAAAGAATGAATTAGTCAATTAAATATAAATTCAACGGTAGATTTTTAAAAAAAAAAAACTATTCAAATTGATTATTACCAGGTAAAGTGTAATGGGAATGTCAATGTACCAGCATCAAACAGCCTGAACAAATAGACAAATATTCTCCTTGTTCCAAACATGCAGATAGAACATTTGCCATAGTAGTGACTTAACTAAAGCTTAGGTTAATTAAGTTTAGTGAGCAAATGGATTAAATCTGTAATCCAATGTACATATACTGGGAATGGGTCCCGGTAGACTTCTGTCTGAGTGAGACACATCTAGGATTATGAGATCATGTTTGTGGAACCAAGGAGAACATTTTGAAGTATTCTCTGCCAATGTAACTGGCTTGCTTTGGCTCTAAACATTCAAATCAATTTTGTGAGGAATTAATTTTGCTGTTCAAACTTTTTCTGGGCTCCAACTTTTGCTTGAACTTCCTGCTACTCTATATATGTGAGCACTTCGTAAACACTGTCTGTTAAACAAAAGAGAAGCCTGGCATTTGTGTTTAAAATGTGTAACGGCAGGCTGATTAGTGCAGAATAAATTGTATCATTTATGTGAATATGATGTCTCTTTCTTTGGACAACATTGGGGCAAAGTGATCATAGCAGCAATAGCAGAAGACCACGTTAAAAATAATGCAAAAATTCAGGTTTGCTGTTTCTTTTAGGGTAGACATTTAGGTAAATGTAAAAGTTCCCCTTGCATTTATGTACTAGTCGTTCCTGACTCTAGGGGGTGGTGCTCATCTCTGTTTCAAAGTCGAAGAGCCAGCGCTGTCTGAAGACATCACCATGGTCATGTGGCTGGCATGACTAAATGCCGAAGGTGCATGGAATGCTGTTACCTTCCCACCAAAGGTGGTCCCTATTTTTCTATCTGCATTTTTACCTGCTTTCAAACTGCTAGGTTGGCAGAAGCTGGGACAAGTAATGGGAGCTCACTCCATTATGCAGCGCTAGAGATTTGAATCGCCGAACTGCCGACCTTTCTAATTGACAAGCTCAGTGTCTTAGCCCCTGAGCCACTGCATCCCTATTTAGGGTAGACTACAGGCTTTTTATTACAATGCAACTTCTCTAACTCTTGTCTGTCTCCCTGCATGCCTTGCAAATGCAGGCTCAATAACGCCTCTAGAACCATAACAGCTTCCATAAAAACACGTATATTCTTCAGTGTGTTCATAAAATCCTTTGTTCAAAGTTGACTAGGACGAAAACATGAGCAAGGGTTGGTTGGAGACATTTTCAGCTTATGCTTCCATCTGAACATAAACAAACGCCTGTGTGAATTCTGCTTTAATGAGTAGAATGGATGTCTGTGAGTGATTTCCCCCTCCCTCCCTTGAATGCTGGGCTTTGTAGAGATGCTGAAGTTGAATGAATTGATGGATGGCAGCACTCAGCGGACTGGGTTGGTTGCAAGGCTTTGAAATCCAAAACCTGAATGAAGGACTAATTCTAAACCAAATTTAGAAATGGAATGTGGTTTTGATCATTGTAAGGCAGTGTTTGCAAATGATAAATATTCAGTAATGCAGGCAGTGAAGCAGCGCCATTTAACAGTGACCTTGCAGTCCGGCCAAATGTTGCAAAGGAGAGTAAAAAAATGAATGCATTTTTTTGTCCATAATTTACTTACTTATTTATTGGAGAGAGGAGCTGACCTGGCAAAAAAATGGATTACACCTCTAGAAATATGATAACTGAAGAATCCTGCTTGGTTTAAAACCTTATAAGGACCAGCACTGAAGATATTAATGCTAAAAGCTTGATTCATTAATCTAAGGAAGGAAAATTGTCGTGGTATATTTGCTGTTGAAGACCAGGCAATATTTTTAGCTTCTGCGATTTTGAACCTTGCTTTTACACAGTAATTAGCCTATATTTGTATATGTGAAAGAATAAAAATTTCAGTGGATAGAAAACTGCTTCCAAGGGATAAATGATCTATTTTATAAAAAAATTCAGGATTGGGAGAAAAACTCAGTTTTCCTTAATTTTTTTCCCCTCTCTGTGTATTCTTTTAACTTTATTTGCAGAATTAATGGCTAAAAATATAGAACTCTTTTTTATCTTTTGGTCAGCAATTGTTAGAAAAGAAAGCTGTTGTAAATCTACAGTCGTCAGTGTATAGTTATGAAATGGTTTGGGGAGATAATTCTTTTGTGAGCATGTGGTGCAATCTTGAAGAAAGCTTTCAAGCACTCAAGAAATTCTCTTGGGTGATACAAACTAGATCAAAACATGTAGCAACATGTGCTGCGTTCCGTAAGCATTCTAAATCAAGCTATAGGGTTTCAGCATCTTGAGATGAACAATTACTTCTGGTTTCTGACTGACAGTGTTTGTGCTTTCCACATGCAGGTTTCCACTCGTTTGGTACATGCTGGTAGGATACGCGTAAAGAGATCATCCAGGAATGGTGGATCACTTGCTTCCTGTGGATGCATCTTTCTCATCCACCAGGCCCTCAATTGGATACTTTGGGGACATGACAGCTATTGGGAGGTCATACCAAATGCTGCCTTCCCCAGTGTCTGAAGATGACAGTGATTCCTCAAGTTTTTGTTCTTGTTCGAGCCCAGATTCCCAGGTTCTAAGCTCCAGCTATGGGAGTTCATCAAGTGCTGAGAATCAGGACAGCATCCTGGACTACTTGTTGTCCCAGGCATCTCTGGGGAATGGCCATGCTTCTTGGTGGGATAAAAGGAGACTTCAACCCATTGTGAAGGAGGAGAATTTTAGAATTCCAGAGTTCACAGTGGAGATGGAAGATTCCGGACCATTCCAGCCTACCCTTGAGGAAATAGAGGAGTTTTTGGAAGAAAACATGGAGATGGATCTCAAAGAAGGACCTAAGAGTGAGACCAAAGACATGAGAGCTTGCAGCCAAATCACTGTAACTTCCATACAGCAAAAAGACCAGATGGTACCAAGTATTACTTTAAAAGACAATAAAAATGAACAATCAAATGGTGCAATGGAAGGCAGCCATACATCTAACGGAGCAGTGTCCCTTGATGGAGGTATACCAGTCATGCTCCAGATCCAGCCAGTTCAAGTTAAGCAACCGTCAGATGTGAGCCCTAGTTCACAAGGATCAGTGCAAGAAAACATTAAAATTGCACAGCTCTTGGTCAACATCCAAGGGCAAACTTTTGCACTGGTGCCACAACTTGTCCAATCATCCAATTTGAACTCATCTTCCAAATTTGTCCGCATAGCTCCAGTTCCGATAGCTGCAAAACCTATTGGTCCAGGAGGTACAATCCAGGGTCAAACTGGAGTCATCATGGGTCAAAAGTTTCAAAAGAATCCTGCAGCAGAACTCATTAAAATGCACAAATGTACTTTTCCTGGATGTACCAAGATGTACACTAAAAGCAGCCATTTGAAAGCCCATCTAAGAAGGCACACAGGGGAAAAACCCTTTGCATGTACTTGGCCTGGCTGTGGATGGAGGTTAGTACTGTCAATTTGGTGGCTGAATCTGATTTATAAATTCTATTGTGCATCTACTGGACAAAGTAATTAGAGTATGTTCCCTTAAAATTTGGTAACTCTCCAAAAAACCCTGTATTTATAAAACAGGACATTGGCCTTTATAAAATACACAGTGATATCCCATTTATAAAAGATAAGTCAGACTTGACAGAGCAACTTTGAATGCCATTGAATCAATCACTGTTTGCTTTTTTTGCAAACTATTTTAGTAAAGCTTAAATACCCAATATACATAGTTCAGCAGGAAAAGACACCCTTTGCATTCAGAAATTCCAAGGTTCATTCTTGTCTACTCCACTTAAGAGGTCTGATAGCAACTGCGGGGAGCGATTTGTATTGGAGAGACCATGTTCCTATCTACTGTATGCTGGTATCATCAATTCCAAAGATCAGACTAAGTAGGGATATGCAAAACACATCAATTTAGAAGTGATGTAAGTCAGCTTCCTATATTTTTCACCCATTACAATTCATAAACTGTTGATTGTGATTTCCCAAATCCCTTTTAGCACTCAGATCAAACAATATCTCTATTATGTAAATAGCTTAATTTCCTTCAGAAATAAACACAACACAAATGCAGCTATACATTCTCAGATAAGTAGAAACTTCCTAACAGCAAGGACAATTAACTGGTGGAACAGCTTGCCTTCTGAAGTTGTGGGTGCTTCATCACTGGAGATTTTTAAGAAGAGATTGGGCAGCAACCTGTCTTCTTCTATACCAGAAGACCCTGGTATAGGCCAGGGTCTTCTTCTTGAGCAGGGGGTTGGACTAGAAGACCTCCAACGTCCCTTCCAGTTCTACTCTGATTGAAATCTGGTCTCTGAAAATAGACTCTTAAAAATCTAAGATATAAATGACCATTATTTTCTACTATGTGTGATCTTCCAGTAGTTTCAGATAGTTTGTTTATTACTGTGTGTGTGAGTTTATAAATGTATGGTTGCATACAGAGAGATTGATTCAAATTAATATATATATTTTCCACGAT